CGGATCCGCGGCAGAGACTGGGCCACAAAATTGCTGCGAAAAATATGGGTGTTCAGCTTCAGGTTTGTCCCGATCGAGTTGGTTCATGTGGGCATTTCTCCTCTACGTGGTTGCAGCGTTCATGATGAGGTTCTTGTTGATCAGAGCAGTGATCATAGCGATGATTACGGGTGTGGTTGGTATGGTAGCTGTGAATGACCGTGCACGGTTGTATGATCAGCTTCGCCATGTATCCTCGTCTCAGAAGAACGGAAATCATAGGCAGTCAAAGTGGAAGTGTATGGAACCATTGAAGGCTTCTCCTGCTTGGTGGTATGTGCACCACTCCTCCACGTGCTGCTGCGCAGCTGGCAATAGACAGGATGAGAAAGCAGACTTTCTAGCATTTGCGTTCTCGCACCGAAAGGATTGACGGACTTGGTGGTGCAGATACCCTGACAAGCAAGCTGGTGCCAAGCCTGCACGGAAGACATGGGTCCTGATAATTTCACTGAGTTCGACTGTTGAGCAAGAGTCGGCATTCAACGGTTTGGCATCTGCTGATGGCTGCTTCGCTTCCGGTGGGCTGGAAATTTATGGTATTGCTCCAACAATCGGACGACCGTGGAAGGCTCGCAGCCACATAACATTCAGCCTTGCAGAGCGCACATGACAGGACATCGCGTATGTTCGGAATGTAGCTCACATGCAGTCACCACCGAAGACAAGCCGAATTCTGCCAGGCCATCATTGCGCCGCCTACCATACCATCAGCCGCGGCCAAGCTGACATGGTACCAGCAGCACAATTCTGTGTCGGACTATCCGTTTCATTGCATCAGGATGTGGACTACACCTTTGGGCAAGTATCTTTCGTTGATGCGAAGGCTCGGACCTGCATGAAATCATCGTAGCCGTCGTAGCCGAGAGGGTTGCAGGGCCAAGGGCATCTGAAACCAGGACGAACCTTCAATCGAACCCGCCTTGAGCCGATTTCGAATCAATCACCTACACTATGCGAAGCTGATATCGTCGGTGCTGGAGATGGCCTGTAGATTTCATATAATTAGTTGCGAGTCCTAGTCTGGCCCAACATCCACCCCGAAGGTCGACTATGGCGGCAACTGTGGCCGCGTGTCTGCACCTGCTACAGTACGTGTCCCTTTCACAACACCTCGATTTCCTGAAAGTCATGCCCGGAAGCTGAGGCCCTCACAGACGCTTCAGGTAATCTTCCTTCAACTTCGTTGCGTGAGCGATCATTCCTTCAGAGTCCCTGAGCGTCTGCGTAAGGCAACATCTCCTCAGCCGTCGGACCCTTTGCCGTGGACAAGGGCTTGATTCAGATCCCGCACGACGAGCCCCTCGGATCTGGGAGCATCCCATGCTGTAGTACATTATCATATCTTGTAGTACATTATAGTACGTGATTGTATGTTATTATAGTATCTGATTGTATTATGGTGTAGAATATTACAGTATGTTATAGGCTAAAGATACACCGCCGTAGTCCTATCATACTCCTGATCAAGGGCAGGCGGTGGTTCTTGGTCAGGAGTCTATTTACATCCAATCGGACAGAGGGTTTAGGGTTTAGGGGTTTAGGGTTTAGTGAGTCGCGTGTGTTCGATCCTTTAGTAGCCACGAGTGCTGCTGGAGGGTTTACACGCTGTCTTGTGCATTTTCCCGGCTGATGGCAAGAGTCCTGGATGCAAAAGGGTTTAGGGGTGGAAGAAGCGGGGGACAGAGGGGGCTCTTGCTGTAACCGGGCTGCTGGACAACGAGGCCTGCTGCAAAAAAAGGGGTGTATGGGTCGAGGGAGTTGTGTCGAAGCGAGCATTCGAGTGTTTCAAAGTTCGGATGCGATGGGGTGGCCCCAAATCCAAGAATGTCGGAGCAGGCGAAGCAACTAATGATACTGCATACGGTTCAGGGTTAGTAAGTATAGTAAACTTGGAATTGAAAGCCCTACGACCAAAAAGCAGCACGCGGTGGTTTCCAGCTCGAAGCACTACCTGCCCTTGACCCCGAGTAGCTCGCCTGAGGAAGTCTCATGTCGTCAAGATTCACAACACCAATACGGGCGCTCTTCTGAAGTCCACGGTGCATCTTTCAGAAACTCGGCTTCTCGCTACTATAGGGAGTAGTAGAAGCGCTGCTTGCTAAGGGTGACTACAAGGGCTACCAAGCGCCCAGAGAACCCAATGCCCGTTAATAAAGGAATATAACATAAATCATAATATTAAGCCCCCTATAGTTTAAGGCACACTCCTCAATAAAGAGGTGCTGCGATCTCTTGGGAATGTTACTAAAAGTCTAGAATCGAGGTTTCGAGATAGTAGCAATGGGCTTGGCACCCAGGGGCCTTGGAGTTGGTTGAGGGATAGACTTCTCCTGAGGTCACCTAGAGGATAATGTAGGAACCTGATTAAGAAACCGTGGGCCTTTCCTAGGGGTCTTTGTAAGAACCCTACGAGCTGCCTACGAGACTCTTGATGATGGCACGGCAGAGAGAGAGCGAGAGAGATGTACATATTATATGTATATATACATCTATACATATATGTATATGAGTCCTACTATTTTGGGGGTTTAAGGCCCAGGGTTTCTCTTCTTCCTAGCCCTGCCTCGCTCAGTCCCAGACTCATCCGACACAGCGTGTCCTTCCAGAGAGCCCAATACCCCTTAATGAAGGATACCTAGGGATCCTGTAACGGATCTATAGGGTTTAGGGTTTAGGGGGTTCTAACAACGAAGGAATATATATATATATATATATATATATATATTTTAAGCCCCCTATAGTTTAAGGTATACTCCTTAGCTAAGGGGTATTGGGATCTTTGGGTCCAAGGACGAAAAGACTGCGCTGGTGGAGGGCGAAGTGGAGATTGCTGGCGTGCACTGCCTTGATTTTATTCAGGGCGGCCAGAGTTCCTTGAGATGGAGAGGGCCATCGTAGTCACATGATAGTTCATGATAAGAATGAAAAATGTAATGATAATGATAATGATAATAATGAGAACGGTAGCAAGGTTGATACTTCTTCTCCCAATGCCCGCTTGGCTTGTTAGAGTTTCGCGGGGAAGTCTTGAATCCTCGTCACAGGCAGTGTGCAAATGGTGGATATTTGCCGAGCCTAACCGTCAAGCGCCGAAGCCTTGCAAGGCGTGCTACACGGGAGCCGCGAGACTGGAAACCTGAAAGCCTTGATGTGCTTAACAAGCCCAAACCAGAGACAACCCTGACAACCCGAACCTCACAATATCGAGATCGGAAAGATCGCTAGTTTCTCCCTTAAAGTTCCATAGATGAATATACACCCGAACCCACCCCAACTTTTACGACCCCTACAGCATAGAAGCCCTACAGAATCCTTAAAGGGGATTCTATTCTCAGAAGTCCAGAGAGCCCAATACCCCTTAACTAGGGAACACTGCTGAAAATACATAGGGCTTCAAAGTATGATCTAAGCTATGTTCCTTAATTAGGGGGTACTGGGCTCTCTGGGAGTTACTTCCGGCTTGATGCCGCAGGTCCCAGGCTCCGGCGCCCCAGTCGATCTCGATTTCTCTGCCCTTTGGAAAGCAAGCTTAGGGCTAGGGGTTTTGGGTTTCGGGGTTAGGGGTTTAGGGTTTAGCGTTTAGTTTACGGTTTAGAGGGGGCTCTTGAAATGGAAGGCCCCTTGTTTCAGGGCCCCGAGATGAATTTAGGGTGTGTATTAGTGCCCCTTGTCTTTCGCGAATCATTGTTTAGCCCAGTTGCCAGGTTTGAGGAAAGAACCTAGTATCTGTCCTCTTGCACCCTACTCATGCATGTATGTACCTTTACAAATGCTAAGAGATACACAATACAGCGATTTAGGCCATTTTCTCCGAAGCTCTACTGCCACCTGCTCTGCATTGACACCCTGCATGTTTGCCCCCGCAATCCTTTCAGCAGATTGGTGACAGCTGGTTTGGGCGCTTCTTGTCCAGCCCAAAATGGCTGGCCTTCAAATCCTGTGCATGCTTAAGCCACTGCACCCAACACCCCGCACACCCAAAACCCTAAACTCCAAGTCACGGTAGCAGGTTGGACCCTCATCAAGCCGCGCCTGCATTGTGTGAGTGTGCGAGTCGAAACCCTAAAACACTAAACCCCCCAATCCCCAAATCCTATCCTCCAAAACCCCTGAACTCCTTATCCGCCATGTGGGAGTTTCCGAAAATAAGGGGGCCCTCAGATAGCACCCGAAATAGTAGGATCCTTCTCATAAGGACCCGAAATTAAGGTACCCCTAATTTTCGGAAACTCTAAACCATTATAGAGCCTACTTTATAGGAACCCTTATAGTAACCCTTTAAAGGAGCCCCCTAATTTTCGGAAACTCCCATGGTAACCCCAAGAACCTTCCGAAAAGCTCAGAGCAGAAAGGCATCGTGTGCCTGAACCCCAGACACGTGGTTTTTGGGATTTAGTGTTTTTTGGGCTTTCGGATTTAGGGTTTAGGGTTTTTAGGGCTTTAGGATTTAGGCTTTAGAGTTTCAGGGCTTTCGGATTTAGGGTTTACAGTTTTAGTGCTTTAGGATTTAGGGATTAGAGTTTTAGGGCTTTAGGATTTAGGGTTTAGAGCTTTAGGATTTAGGGTTTAGAGCTTTAGGGCACTGGGATTTAGGGTTTAGAGCTTTAGGGCTGTAGGATTTAGGGTTTAGAGATGTTTCTACTTTGTTTTAGCGGAATTGTGGAATTGCTCGGCATTCTAAGTTTGTCGGTGTCTTGACGCTTCAGGACTTCAAACCTCCAGACCTGGACAGTTGCTTCGACCATAGCTGATGGTTCAGACATGGTCCTTGGTGCTACGGCAGTCTAGAGCAGAAAATGGGAGCTCCACAGAGCTCGTCAACTATGTGCATCATAAAAGTTGTAACGATTGTGCGTCCCAGCTTCCTCCTGAGCCTGGGGTTTCTGTCCACAAGTGAAGAACATCTCGCCAACTATTGTCCCAAAGCCTCCTCCCGAGACCCTCACTCAGCATCTCGCATGGCTTTGTGGCTATGCTGTCTCCAGCTCCTGGCATGCTCCATGGTTGCTGGAAACTGGGTGGAGCTGACGCCGCCTTCAGGTGGTCCGAGACGACTGAGCAGGATGACAGCAGTTTGGGACACTGTGGAGAAAGGACTGTTCTTGTTCGGAGGCCTCGGGCAAGGGCCTCAAGGAGCCGATGTTGGATGGGGCTACCAAAACTACCTTTACTTCTACAGTGTCACCTTGAACCTCTGGAGCATCAAGTCTAGCGATGGGGCGCCAGTGCAGCGCCAGTTCCATACAGCGGTGCTGGATCCGGTGGATCGGGTGATGTACGTGTTTGGAGGACAGAACGAGAGTGTTAACAACAATGATGCGCAGTCGACCTTCTCTGACTTATTTGGCCACTGGACTTTGGAGTACTTTTTTCTTAAAGAAACCATTATGAAACAACAGTTTATACTTTTTCTCCCTGGTTACTTAAAAGACCAGGCTATGATCTGGCTAATGACACTTGGGCGGAGCTGACTGGAAGCAAGCCACGTTCCAGGCACAGCGCAGTTTGGGACACTGACTCACACCGCATGATCGTTTATGGTGGTATTTCTGATGTTCCCTCTGATAGATACGATGACGTGGAGGTGTATGATCCAAGCAACGACACCTGGAGCTCCCTTACTGTAGTCGGGGCGAAGCCGCTTTCGCGCTTCGGGCATGTTGCAGTCTGGGATTCGGTTTCGAGCGTGATGCTGATGTGCTGTGGACGTGGAGGGACGCAGGTTTTCATTCCATTTACTAACATGACAGACTCGACGTACAACGATTTGTGGAGCTTCTCCGAACAGTATGGATGGACACTTTTGGTGGCATCTGGCAGTCTTACGCAGCGAAGGGGTGCTGGGGCAGTTTGGGATTCAAGTGCAGGCAATTTCATAGGATTCGGAGGTGAGTATGCCGGCGTCATCCAGGCCACGCTGTTCCTCTACTCGAATGTGAGTGGCTGGAGCGAGTACGCAGTCAGCGGGCCCGGCGGCCGCTACGGGCATGCAATGTGCTGGGATCCTGATGGAAAGAAAATCTATATATATGGAGGGATAGGTGACAGCGGCACCGTTGATGAATTCTGGCGGTTGGACTCAGTTGTAACGTCTACATCAAGCAGCATAACCCGCACGACGTCAACTCTGAGTGTGACCTCTAGTATCACTACTTCATCCAGCATGACTCTCAGTTCCACAAGCACAAGCAAAACGTCCAGTCTCACGACATCCAGTCGCACGACGTCCACCACTGTTTCACGAACTTCCACTTCGACAGTCTCCCTGACATCCTCGTCGACAACTCAGAGCCTATCCTCCACCCACACCACCAGCACTTCTGACACGATTTCCAGCTCCACGACGAGAACCCAAAGTTTTACCTCCACATCCACGTGGTCCACCACCACATCGGGGAGCACCTCGCAAACGTTCACCACCACATCGAGGAGCAGCACCCCGACCACTTCGCAAACTTTAACCACCAAGTCGAGCAGCAGCAGCACCACGACGAGGTCAATCTCAAGCACCGGCCTCACAAGCTCCGCAACTGTCTCCAGCTCAACATCAACTAGCAGCAGGAGTGTTACCATCAAATCCTCAACTTCGACTTCGACGAGCCTGCAAACTAGTTCCTCAACTTCAAGTTCTACGTCGTCCGCGACAAGTTCAAGTTCGCCCACAACTCTCTCAACATCATTCACAACAAGGAGTGAGACATCCACCGAAACTACGATCCAGAATGGTGCTGGAACAAGCAGCACGTCATCAAGTTCATCAGCAACGATGCACACGTCCACATCTACGCCTGCACCCACTTCATCTTCTTCGTCAACATCGTTGACCACCAGCTCGACGTGGGATGAAACGGTTGACACTGTGGCGGTGAAGCTTACAGAAGTTGAAGAAGCGGAACAACATACTTTGCAGGGGCTTCTGTCCCTCCTCGAAGATACGTCGGTGACTTCGAATGCCTCGAATGCTTCTAGTGGAGTTCTCGGCTATATCTTCGCTGAGGAGGAAGAAGCCGCGGTACATGCATGGGCCTTGAGCAGCCCTTCCGTTTCGGACACCCCTCTGGCATCTGCGCTGACTTTGGATGCAGACACGGTGGGCCTGGCTGTGCCACTGGAGTCACTGGCACAAGTGGCAGAGCTGGCAGCGGCAGCGGGTGGCGAGCAAGAGGTAGTCCTGCTCACCATCTCTACTTTTCAGGCCACTTCTGCGCTCAATGTGAGCCAGAGGGCCCTCGTCGCGGACCCGGTGCGCGTGAACTTCCGAACAGCGGGAGGCCAGCGCCTTCGGGTGCAGGCACTGAGGCAGCCGCTGGAGTTGAGATTTCAGCATGTGGCGGTGGCGGCTGGGGAGGGCGGCCGTCAATTCCAGTGTGCGTTTTGGGACGAGGAGAATGGCCGCTGGTCAAGAGATGGCGTTCAGCGTTCGGAGGACACGGAAGCGTTTGTTTGCCTGGCGAACCACTTGACCCTCTTCGGCGTTGTCCTGGATGCAGTGGCACTGGCCTTCCACTGCTCCACAGCATCGGACGTTCTCTCGGCAGCCAGCTTCCAGAATATGAGCAGGACGCAGTGGCTTGCCTACCCCGCGTCGATCTTCTCCTTTGTCTTTCTTGGGGTTTGCCTGGCTGCGATGCTTTGGGGCCTGCGTTTGGATCGCAAAGCCGCGAGAGCTTTGCCCGAGTCGGATGTGGAAGCCGTTCTTCTGGTGAACCGCGCTGAGAAGAAGGTGACATGGGAACCGGATTGGCAGAAGCACCGCCACAGTGCATTCTGCTGCTGGTGTCTTGCTAAGGCCTGTGACGGATTCGCCTGGCTAGTAAGCACTATCTTCGAGTTCCAGGCCACCGATTCGCTCGCTGAGTTCACGAAGCCGCAGGAGGCTACTGTGAGCCGATGCATAGCTTTGCTTCACTCGCAGAAAGCAGGAGCTGACCGAAAAAGCATCTCGGCAGTGCTGACATCGAGCGGCGAGCGAAAGCTCCGTCGTCGGGGTGCTTCGGAGAGTCCGCAGAGCATGCAGGGGGAGCAGAGCACCACCTCCAAAGCATCGCAGGCCACTGCGATGGTCCAGTCTTGGGATGTACACTCTCATGGTGTCTGGGCAGTGAACCGGTACCTGTCCGCCTCGTGGTGTCGACGGGTGATGATTCTGCTGCCTTGCTTACACCCTTGGGTGAGGCTTGCTCTGCTGAGCCTCTTCAAGTCTCATACGATGCGAGCTGCTTTGGTCGTCCTGAAACTTTCTACATCGGCGTTTGCAAATGCTCTGTTCTTCACTACTGCAGCACAGACGGCAGACTCCGACGACGAATGCGCAGAACAAGAGTCGCTGGGTCAGAAGCTCTTGACGGCTACCGTTGTGGGTATCTCCTCCGCATGCATGAGTGATGTTCTAGTCATTTGTCTTGCCTTGCTTCAGCGACGCACAGTTCTGATACGGGATCTCTGGACAGAGGAGATGAAGGTCAGGCAATTACGTCGCTGGCTCCTCAGACGACGACTCTTCTGGTGTGTTTGGACTCTGGCTTTCGTCTTCTCCATCCTCTACATATTGTCCTTCCTTGCCAATGTGAGTGAAGCAGATGCTGCAAAGTGGCTGGAAAGCAGTGGGGTCAGTTTTCTGCAAGACCTTTTGCTTAAACCCGCGCTGATGGCCATGGGCTATGCGACGCTGACAACCTTCGTTTTGTGCTGCTCTCCACGTGTGAAAGACGCGATACTGAATCAGTGGATACAAGCAGATGAGGATGTCGACGAAAGTGTGGCAGAGGACACCGTTAGCTTGAGCTTTCCTGCTGGAGATTCGATTGGTGTGGATGAGACCGAGTCAGATCATGAAGAACTCGTCCAAACAACATTTCTTGGAGATTCGGCTGGTTTGGATGAGACCCAGTCAGCTCATGAAGAAATCGTTCAAACAACATTTTTTGGAGATTCGGATGAGACCGAGTCAGTTCATGAAGAGATCGTCAAAAAAACATGGCTTTGATGCTCTCAGGGGTTGCAGCCGACAGGGTCACCAGTTGCGGATGTCTTATATGGATTCTGCATTATGCCTCATGTGCACGGAGTTGGAGACTCTGTGCGGTAAGAGAAGGATGGAGGTAGTTCCATCCAGAGCACACTGCCGGCCTGATCGCTGGTGGGAGGGGCAGGGAGGAGCAAGACTCTTAACATGATATGGGAGTTTCCGAAAATTGGGGTACCGGATTTTGGGGTCCTTTTAAAATAAGGATCCTACTATTTAGGGCTACTATGTTAGTGTCCCCTTTTTTCGGAGTTTCCCATCTTGGAGATGTTTCAAATAAGGATCCTGCTATTTAGGCTACTATATTAGTGTCCCCTTTTTTCGGAGTTTCCCATCTTGGAGATGTTTCAAATAAGGATCCTACTATTTAGGCTACTATATTAGTGTCCCCTTTTTTCGGAGTTTCCCATCTTGGAGATGTTTCACCCGCAGCAACCGCAAAGCAGTTGCCAGTCGCCGGAACAGCCTCGCCCGGAGTGTCCGAAGGAATCTGCGTTAGATTACATGGGGCTTCATAGTATGAGTTAAGCTGTATTGCTTAATTTCAGGGTAGTGTTCATTGCATGATTTACGCTATATTCCTTAATTAGAGGGTATTGGGCTCTTTGGGAGTCAAAAAAGCGTTTTGTCGTCCTGAGTTTAGTGCCCGAGGCCACGCAGGGAAGTGTCACTGGCAGGCTGCTCCCCTCTGGCCAGTCCCTGGGCTGTACTTGCAGTTCAGGGTTCGGGTTTAGGGTTGAGGGTTTAGGGTTTACGGTGGGCGTCCTTGCAAGCAAGCCTGCAGCAAAAGGGTTTACGGTGGGGGGGGGGGGAGGGGGGCGGGGAATGTGGTTTAGGGGGTTTGAGGGCATACAGGTAGTAGGATGATCTGGGGATGACCGGGCTCAAGTTGATTGTCCAGCAGGAATGTAGGGCTTCAGCGACTTGTGATTTCAGCCATGGATGTTAAAGCTCAAGCCCCTTCATCTTCATGAGCACAGGCTTTGCCTCTGGGCTTCTGGCTCTCCGAATGCTTGTTGATGACACCTCTCTGCTGCCATCATGCGTGCAACATGCGAGGCTTTTGGACCAACTCTCAATCCCTGGCAGTAGCGGAGAGCTGATCGAGGCGACCCTGCTGGATGCAGGCAGGGGCATTCGAACTCATGTTAGAGGCCCAGACACAATCCAAGCCCATGCTGAAAAAGAGGCCCAGACCTCAGCTGCTTTGTGGGAGTTTCCGAAAATAGGGGAGACCTTATGACTTTATGTTGGGTTCCTTATAAGAAGGGTCCTACTATATTAGGCCCCCATATTTTTGGAAACTCCCTTATGATTTCGGCGGCATTTCGTAGTCAGTCCAGATAAAGGCCATAGGGGTTCATATCTCACCAGACCACTCGAGGACGCAGTCGTCAGCAGCGAAGACACCCCGGGCAGATGCTATGGGGGCTTAAAATATTAAAGCAGGACTGGTGGGGTAGTTAGAGTAATACAGAAGTTGGAAACGTAAACGTGACTCATTCTAGTAGTGTATGTGTGCACCGAGCCACCTGTGCCAGGCCAGCCAATGGTGTTCCTACGTGCCGCAGATCTTTTCAAGGATCGACCGGAGGCCAGCAAGATTAGGTTCTTGCTAAGGGATTTAACTTAAGTTACCATAGTAGGGATCTATAGGAAAGAATATGATTTCCTTAATTATGGTACCTTTACAGCAGGATCTGGGGGAGCTACCTGAGGGTGCCGACACTTCGCATCGAAGTACGCGTTCCGTCCGGGTCAATTTAGAGAAGCTTGCAATTTCAAGAGAGGACAGAACCAAGCAAGGCCTTCGGAACGATGTTGGAGCTGTGATTTACACCCACATTAGCACGATTCGGCTTTCCAGCTCGGAGCTGTTTGCATGTTCGAAAGGCCTAACACCGGCAACATCCTCTTTTTTTGGCTTTGCAGGGCACAACACCTGAAACCTTGGCCCCTGGACCCTGCTAAGGCCGTTCCAGACCCACAGCTGCGCCTATCCTAGCCTAACCAAGCCCTCAAGTCAGCAGCCCAACGCCGGAATTTGAATCCGAGAGCTTAGCAGCACCCTGCAACGAAGCAGTGTGCCCTAAATCACATGAAGGGTCCTCTCATACTCCCGAGATTGTCCTCATGTCATAGGTTGTTCAGTCCTCGGTGACTTTTCACCCGAGCCCGTGAAGCTGCAAGTCGCTGCCAGGTTGCAGCAGCCACCCCTCAAGCGCAAGCCGAGGCCGGGGAGGTTTCTACAGGCTCCAACACCCTGTCTTTCAGGATTTCCTGCATTACGGAACCCTGTGGCAAGTTCTGGCAGACCGTAGGAAGGGTCCCTTGCAAAACTCGGGAAGTCTATCCTTTGATTTTGCGGGGGCATGTTCGGACCGGAACAGAACGGCGGGGGACGAAGACACCATCCTTAAGGAAGAGGGGACACCACCACCTCCAGCACCAAGAGTGACAACAAGGATGACGTCGACAATACTACTATCAAGTAGCTGTAGCTGCAACCAGACCTTTGTTGGACACAATGCGTCCCTGCCCTAGTCACTCACTCACTTACTTACTTACTGACTTACGTATTTACCTTTTTCCTTACACATATACGTATATGTATATGCAAATACATGCATATGAACATTTGAAGGTCTTTAGTTGTTCAGACTTGTTTTTACTTACGTTCGTACATACATGTGAGGCAGAGAGTGCATAATGCGCATCATGCGCATGAGGATAGGATGTTCAGGGATCGCTCTGTTTCGGCCTTGTTAGGTCGCAGCACGAAGCCCCAAATTATGAGCCAGGATCCCAAGGTGCAAAGGCACTATGATTTCCATGGCGAGCTAGAAGTTCAAAACAAGCGTCCACACCGTCAGAAATCGGAACCCGGCTTGGATTTCAACATCTTCATGGCTCTTTCGGTGTGAGTTTGACGTGGTTTCAGGTGCTGAAGACAGATACACAGCTTTTGCGCCGAGTGGAGTGCTCCTCGTGCAGCAACAAGCCCTATAGTCCCACTAGGAGAAGGGTTGTTTTTTGTTGGACTGGGGTCTGGGGCCTCGTGAAGTTTGAAGACCGAACCAGGCGCAATGTCACGAGTGGTTTGCAAGACCCTTCCACTGCCAGTCACCGGTACCAGCACTGATTCGCAGAACTATACGGACTCTCTGGGCTTGTTGCGGTGCTGTGGTCATGGGTCCGTGCTCAATTAGTCTGCACGGACTCAGCGGGAATCCCTAATGCGGCGAGTCTTTGAGAGAATTTTCAGTGGAAGTGCTCTAGGCTGCTCTTGGCGCACTGCAGGCATCTCGGTGACCCTGTGCACCCAGAGAGCCCAATACCCCTTCTACGTTGCTTCATATTATGATTTAAGCTATACTCCTCCACTCAGACTACCGGTGCTCTCGGCATTCGACTGAGGCATCCGGGGTGTCGCAGCCGTGAAGATGGGTATCGTCCAGTGACTCGGTAACCCATTTATAGGTTTACGGTGCTTCTGGTTTTAGGGCGTGCAGGGTTTCAGGACGTTGCGTTGTTTCAAAGGCAGATTGGAGAAGACCTTGAGCCCGGAGAGGGAGTAGAAACAATCACCCGGGGAGGACTGGGGTCTTCCGAACATTAAGCGTCCCTAAGGGTTCCTTTAAAGGGCTCTATAAGCGTACCTAAGGGTTCCTTTAAAGGGCTCTATAATCCAAGTCCTCGAGTCCTTCGAGTTTTTCTGGGGGGTCCCTCCCCCGTCCAGCTTCTTCGGCTGTCTCCTTACAGAACTCGGCTTAGGATCTTAGGAGACACTGCCCGGCACATCTCCAGACAGAAAGTCGAGGAACTGGGAGGAAGCCGAGAAGGTCTCGCCCTATACGCCCTTCGTCGCTGCCATCTCAGCTGCACCATCCAAGGACCGCTTCTCAGCCTGCGAAGCACCATAGGGGTAGTATCAAGCCATCAAGTCGTTACGTGCATCCTATCCTGATGGACTTGCATGAGAGGCTCGGAGCCTTTGAGGGCTCCTGAGAGCTTAGGAGGCTCTGAGCTTGAGTCCATCCTACGGAACGTCACATGGTAGAGATCGTTGCAACAACGGGCTTGGATTCGCAGGCAGCTGGCTTTCTCAGTTGCAAAATTAGGCAAAGAGCCTCCCGCGGAAACAAGATCGGCGCTTCGTATATGGAGTCGCAGTGCTGGCCACAAGCCTGGTAATTCCTGCCGGCAAACTTGCAATGCCATCACGAGATATTATACTGCTGCTGTAGTTGTTCGAGCTGATTTGCGGACTGTTAGGATTAGCAACGGAGCCTAGCGCTTGTGGGCCAGGTGTGCGCGTGGAGTTGGGTGTCTAGGTGGTAACATTCATGCAACGAGGTTTAAGGAACGAATGCCTGTAGACTGTGGGCCTAGCGCTGCTCGAAGTCCTCCTGTCGTTCGCGGTGTACAGACATCAGATCGCAAGCAGGACGCAGACTTCACGTCGGTTTGTGCACCTTGACTGGCTTGGGATATTCTGGACCTTAAAGGTCTGCAGCTGTTTAGACTACATGTGGGTGTTTCCGAAAATTAGGGGTACCTTATCTTGGGTCCTTATAATAAGGGTCGGACTGTTTAGGGTGCTATATTAGGGTCCCCTATTTTCGGAAACTCACACGTGTCAGTGCCGCATAATTAACAGAGGAGCATAAGTATTACCAATACTATTTCCGGGCTCCTTATTATCGTAACATAGTATAATGGGCCCCAAAAACCCTATTCTGATTTTTGAGGCCCCTATACTATAGTACCCTTACGGTATCCCTTAGAGTATATAACCCTTATAGGACCCTTTAAAGGAACCCTGTCCCCCCTATAGTAGGACAATTGGTAGTCTCCGAGTCTCAGACCAGCCTCCGAGGTCTTCATGCAGAAGGTTCACCAGGTGGGCGAAGTCAACTGACACGGGATGACATAGTAGTATCCCCTTATTGTCCCATATA